GCGGGCACCTGTGGTCCCAGCTACTTGGGAGGCTGAGGCAGGAGACTTGCTTGAACCCAGGAGTTGGAGGTTGCTGTGAACTGTGATGCCACAACACTCTACCCAGGGTGACAGCTTGAGGCTCTGTCTCAAAAAAAATAAAGAGCCTTGCTGAGTCCTTGGAGTGGAGTCCATACCACAGGGGTGTGGCCCATCTGCTGGCACCTCTGGGGTAGCACTTGGGGGTTTACAGTGAGGGTCATTTTGGGTTCAGGGAAGAGAAGGGACTTGTGAGGCCTCCAGGTGCCGCCTACCTCCTGGACGTGCTGTGTCCACCTCAGGCATGGCCGCACACCCCACACATGGCGCGGTCCAGCGGGAGTGATTATTGCTGTATTGCTGTATTACAGATGAGGATGCTGAGGAGGGGGAGGGGCTTGCTGGGTGCTAAGGGTGGAAAGACGGTTCCATGAAGCTCCTGACTCCTGCACATGGCTGGCAGGTGGGCTTGGGACACACACAGCCTCAGGCCCCTCTGTCCTCTGTCCCCTGTGTCTCTGCAGGCCCTGGTGGACCTTCTGCTGACCAGTGGGGCAGCGGCGGCCACCACTGTGGCCTGGTACCAGGTGAGCCCACCAGCTGCCCGCCTGCTCTACCCCTACCTGGCCTGGCTGGCCTTTGCAACTGCGCTCAACTACTGTGTGTGGCGGGACAACCGCAGCTGGCGTGGGGGCCGCCGGGCCCCGGAATGAGTGCCCAGCCTGCTGAGGACTGTGACTGCCAAGAGCAGGTGCCATTGGTGGTGGTGGCTGTCATGCTTTCACAGCCACTGGGCCTGCTGCTGCTCTGTTTGGGTCTCAGCCCAGGGATAGCACAGCCTCAGAGATGGTTCGGGCCATCCTCTTCTCCCTCCTGGGGAATGGCGTCCTGCGCTTTCTGCACTGCTCAGAGCGCTCTGAGAACACAGGATTTTATAAGCCAAATGAAATTTTTAGCTTCTTGTTCAGTGGCCTTTTTACTTGGGCCGGACCCTGGCTGTGGGAGGGGGAGGGGCTGAGGCTACTCAGGCTCATCCTGCTACTGGGTCATCATGTGAGGCTCGGCCCAGTGAGGGCTTCCCTATACTTTCCTAGGATCCTCCTAGGAGCCTGCAAGAGGTGAGGTGGGGTGTCCACTGGGGAGCAGCAGAAGATTGACAGAGCAGGAAGCAGCCCAAGTTGGACCTCAGAGCCCACGCCAACTTGTGCTGCTGGCCAGCTGGCACAGCTAGGGCTGGGGCTGAGAGTTTCCACTCGAGGAGGGGGTCCTACTTCCCACGCCTTCCAGGACACACAGCTAGGCTTTGAGTGGCTGGGCCCACAACCAGAGTCCAGCGCTGGGATCTGTCCAGACCCCATACAGGGTCTTCAACTGGGCTCGCCCCAAACAAAGCTGGGGATGCTGACTGCTCCTTCTCCTGGGAGAAGACTGCTGACTGCTCCGAACTCATGCCGGCTACATTCCACCACAGGTTGCCCCACAAACACCCAGTCAGCAGGGGGTAGATGTCGGAGGTCTGAATCCCAGCATGTGGGGCCTCCTCGGTCTAAACTCATTCAGGTTTGGAGGTGTCACCCTACCCTGACATCCTTCCATCCTGAATTCAAATTGGGTGGGTGACCCATGACCTCTGCAGGCAGCTGTTTGGGGTAAATGAGCCAGGGCAAAGAGCTCACGCACAGGCAGGCTACTGTCCGGGTGAGGACATTCCCTATCCTGTTTCTAGTCACCAGTCCCATGTAGTACTTGGCAACCCTGTGTGGGCCCCCTCCTTGGCCAGGCCTGGCTGGGACTTCTGTGTTTTGTTTTTGGTGGTTAATGTGAGTTTATCTCAGCTGCTAGACCGTCCACAGAGATCTCCTTATCATGTCCCCACCTGCACATTCAGAAGTGACTGAACATTACCAATAGCTCTGGGAATGAGTGAGGACAGGAGTACATAGAGCTATAACCTGACCCCCAGCCTCTCCTCACCCAACGGGGAAGGAGTTGGACACCCAACAGATGGTGCTCTGTAGGAATCCGGCAGCTTCGCCACGTGACTCAGCTGAACCTCAGCCAGCCCGCAGGGTTTTCCTGATGTTCACAGGTGCAGAGGTGGCAGGTGGGGACTCTGTATTTTTATTTCTGCAAGTTCTCCAAGAACTCGAGAGTTTAATCCCTCCAGAGCTTTGTCTGATGGCAGAGGTCCTGCTCCAGCACATCTTCTGTGACAGTCCCCACAGAGTGCAGAGGTGCCCCTTAAATTATCAAGGGACACTGGATTTGTACCAGACACTTAGGACTTAGGGAAAGTGCCCCAGAGACTCTTGGGTCTTTTCAGGAATATTCGTTCAGGTGTTTGCCCATACCACACACGGGTGGGTTTGTTCCTCTCTGTAATATTCCACGCATACCCTACTGGCCACAAAACATGCACTGCCACAAAAACACTCTGGAAAAGTGGACCAGAGAATGCATTTAGCCGTTTGGTTTGCCAACGTTCTAAGAACAGCCTTACACTGCTTTCTCTGTTCTTAACAGACATTATTCTCTCCTTTTCTAGCCGTCACCACTGAAGGTTCCTGACGGTTTCCATACCCCACAGCCTGGTTAAGTACTTCTGGTCTGCCCAATTGTCTAGTTACTGCATGCACTGAGGCCTTGAACCCATGCACTCACCTTGCTCTCTAGCTGACTGGTTGCAGAGGGTGCAAGGCCAGGAGGGCTCGGCCAGCTGGTGCCGGTGACTCTTAGAGGAGCTCATCAAACACTTCAGTTTTGTGGTCAGCCACTGTGGGCGAGGTGGGGAGAAACCCACCACCCATGCACTGAGTGTCCAGTTAGGTAGGTTGGTGCTTTCTGATGGAAGAGCTGCCATCTATGGGTGTGTTTATGTAGCCATAGAATGTTACCAGAACATTTTCTAAGTGCCACTGTCAGCGTCTCAAACTTTTGCCTTTTGATATCTTCCATATGGCTCTGTACAGTCATTAATACTAGGACTCTCTTGGGTCAACTCTAAATGTCTCACACTGACAAATCATGCTTTTTTTTTTTTTTTTTTTTTTGACAGGGTCTCACTCTGTTGCCCAGGCAAGGGTGCCATGGCATAATAGCTCATGGTAACCTCAAACTCTTGGGCTCATGGCATTCTCCTGGCTCAGCCTTCCAAGTAGCTGGGACCACAGGCACCCACAATGACCAGCTAATTTTCTATTTTTAGTAGAGACAGAGATCTTGGTCTTGAACTCTATAGCTCAAATGATCCTCCTGCCTTGGCCTCCCAGAGTATTAGAATTCCAGGAGTGAGCTACCATACCCAGCCCTTTTGATGCATTCTTAGAAAGTGATGAGGATGCCAGTTCCAGAGATTAGTATTTAGTAGGATAAGCACCATCTCCACAGCAACTGCCTCAGTGTGTGGAGCCTTTGGCTCACAGCCTTTCTTGGGGGTTGTCCCTTTGCACTGGTCAGAGGTGCTAGGACATCTAGGAATGGAGAGAAGCCCGTCTATCATTAGGGAAAGCTAGAACCGTGTGGTCCCGACTCCAGGGCAGCCACATTTTAAATGTCTGGGGAACAGGCAAGAACAGCACCCTGGCTAGTTCCTGGAGGATCAGCCTGGTGTGGTCATCCTACCGAGGGCTCAAAGAGCCCAGCCGCGCCCCCCTCCAAGTTGTACTTTCTTAGGCCGCCAGGTGGTGCCTCTACCGCCTGCTGACAGGCAGCTCCCTGCCCCAGCCCGGGGAACCCAAGATTAAGAGTCTCTTATTGCTACCTAGCACAAGGTGACAGGTACAGGGAGAACACCATTGCCCAGGGCTGAGGGGTGTGGGCTTTCACAAGGACTGAGACTCCCAGGCGGTGGTGGCAGAGCTGGAGGGGCTCAGCCCTCCATCCATTATTTGTGGAGTTTCCCAGCCCTGGGAAACCAAATCTTTGGGGTTTTCAGCAACAGCAGGGGAAAGAGCTGTGACACCCAGGCTAAGCCCATGACTACAGGGCCCCAGAAAGAGGAGGACAGAGCTGAGAGAAGGCGTCTTTTATTGCAGCATAAATCCAGTGAGAGGGGACCACAGGAGAGCAGCCCTCCTGGGGAAACAGGCCAGGTGCCTGCCCTCCCAAGTACAACAGGCTGGGCCCAGCTGCCACTAGGGAGGGCGAGGCTCTCCTTAACAGAGGGTGGTGGTCACCCAGACAGACACCGAGGGGACAGGCAAAACAACTATGTGCAGTTTTGCTACATGAAAGATCCACTTTTAGCTTCAAAAATGAAACACCACTATCTCTAGCCCTGCCTTCCTGCAAACCATAAGGCTCTGGAGAGTGTCCACCTGCCTGAGTAGTCAGGCCCACCCCCTGCCCACGAGTGGGGCCCAGGTGTGCTGTGGCCACACAAAAACACTGGCAGCTGACTCCAAATTTCAGAAACAAAATTAGGAAAGAACTAGAACTTTACATTTTCTTCCCACAAATTAAAAACAACACAAAGCCAACAATATGACTCTGGACCCTGGTAGGAACTGGAGTCTGACTCTAACATCAAGTTCTCCTTGGAATCATCCTCTGGCCACCCACACTTGGCCCCGACACCCCCACCTCCAGATGGCCCCAGCAGAGTGCCTGGTGAGGATTCTAACAGGACAAGAGTGTCCCTGTTGGGGTCTGGGACCCCTGGGGAACGGAAAGGAAATGATAACAAAAGGTGCTGTCCCTCCTGCCTGGAAATCAGCAGAGGTTTGCTGGTGAAGGTTCTGGTCAGCTGGGGAAGGATAAGAGGGCTTTGGCCGGTGGTTTCTCTAGGCTGTTCTGGGGCACCTGACACAAAGCCCTGCAGGCAGAGTGTGAGGCTCTGATATCTGAAGAGTCTGGAATTACCCCCCCCGCCCCCCAGCCCCAGCCCCAGCCGCACAATCCTGCTTGCCCCTCGGAACCCTCCCACGACCCTCTGGAAACCTGGCAGCCCAGACACACTCTCCTGATGCCAGGAGGAAAGGCCTTGGCAGAGGTCAGATCCAACAGATGGTGGAGATTGGAGGTGACTGGGTCAGCGCCTGGCCCTGGGGACATCACCACTGTCTGTCCTGCTTGGACCCGCTAGAGCAGTGGTTCTCAACCTTCCTAATGCAATGGCCCTTCAATACAGTTCCTGGGGGCCGTGACCCACAGGTTGAGAACCGCTGCTCTAGGGGCAGGAGAAGGACCCTGAACTCCCAGGGTGTGAGGCCAGAGCCATGGCTAAGGAGGACAGAGGGGCAAGGGCTGGGGTTGGCGCTGGGACCGGAGGGAGGAAGAGAGGGGAAGTGTGGGGCCTTTCAGAAGCAGCTCAGAGAACTGAGGTGGGAGGCACCCCCCAAGCACAGGGTGCAAGGACAGCAAGTGCCTAGATGAGGCAAGTGACGTGGCAGTTGCTGGGCTGGTCCAGAAACAGGGTGCTGAAGACATCATTGAAGAAGGTGGGGTGATATCGACAGGCTCGCTCGCAGTCAGGGTTGAAGTTCACCTCTAGGATCTGCGGCTGCATCACTCGCTTCCCTGATGGCACAGAGCACAGCTGGTGTGAGAGCTCTTCTCGCTTGCTCCTGGGAGGGCAGCTGGGGACCCCATGGAGGCTGGAACAGTGGCAAGGCCCATAACTCCTGCTTTATGGGGAGGCTTGGCCTGTTGCCTGCTCCTCTGGGAGAGGCCAGAACTGCCTCCAGCCTTAGGGACATGGGATTGTCACTTTAAGCTTACATGTTCAGTTTACTCAAAAAGCAGAGATGCAGGGCCCAATGAGAGGTAGGGAGAGCTTTGATACCAAGGGGGCCTAGCCAAGGCCATGTGGGGACAGGGTGCCTTCCATATGTACTCCTGTCCCCTGAACACCATCCAGTCCACAGCCCCTGCCCTGTGGCCTAGACAAGGCCTCCCCCAGCCTGGACCTCCTGGCCAATTCAGGGTAAAAGACAGTCTGGAGCAGCGCCTCCTTCCCCTCTTCTTCTGGAGTGTGGAGGGCTGGGGAGGCCTGGTAGTCTGGACTGGGGGACACAGGAGCCCCTCTCACCATCTGGATGGGTGTCCCACTTCAGCATGAGGTCGACAGCATACATGGCCCGGGAAGAGGGGTAGTCACACAGGCCCTGGGGTGGTGGCTTGGCACAGGCTACCTGGAACAGTTCTGTGAAGGCCTGGAAGATCTCTGCCTGGGGACCAAAATAGGCCAAGTCACCAGGCCTGCTTGACTTTGATGTTGGGACTGGCTGCCCAGAGCAGCCTCTCTGTAAAGAGTTCACTGCCCCTGCCTGGAACCTGACCCCCTCATGGCCCGAGTTACCCCTTCCTATACCCTCATGTCTCTAGAGCTGACCACGGCCCCCTCATTCTTGGTGTCCATCTTCTGCAAATCTGTCCATGTCTTTAGCCGCAGAGACCCTGTGGCCCCCCCCTACACCGAGGAGCTTAGCCTACCACCTGAAATGCTCACTGTGGGATGTGGCAGTCCACTCTACCTCCCCTAATGGCCTGGATTCCAGGAGCAGGTGGAAGCCATTGCCCTCTGGCTGTCCTAGGAGTGCCCCAGCTTACCTCCTCCTGCTGAAGAGCCCCCACAAACGCCCAGAGTGGGAGGGAGGGGAGCCCACATCATCTCTTCCATGGCAAAGGACCATCCAGAAGAGACACAGACTTCACCCAGGCCACGGGAGAGGGGCAGCTCCTGCAGGGCCCAGTCCAGCACCCGACCCTCCAATACCTAGTGGCACTCAGGACTCACCTGGACGTCCTTCCAGGGAAATTCTGGATATTGCTTCTCAAACTCTGGGATGAACTCATCATGGTGCACCTGCCATAGACACAGGCCCATCACACCCTGCCAGGGCCTCCTTGGGGCAGTGGGTAGGGAAGGCCACTGCCTTGGCCAGTAACCTCTGACATTTGCTGGGGGTGACAGGAAGACTACATAGGCAAGAGGATATCTGGTTTCAGCCCTTCAGGGCACAAATGGGAAGCAGGGGACTAGGTTTGAGCTCTGGATCTTACTGTGTGACTCTGGACAAGGATTAACTTCTCTGAGCCTCAGTTTCTTCCTCTGTGAAATGGGAGCACGCTCCCCATCCAGCAAGCTGACTTTGCATGGCTGGCTGATGAGCCTCCCAGGGCTGAAAGACTACAAGGCTGGGACAGTGCCCGTTCTCATGCTATGTACCAGGGACCCCCATAGGCAGGGCCAGGCTATTTCATGCTTAGCTCTGGCTTAGAAGTGTCTGAGGGACAGCAAGATATTCTTGGGCCCAAGACTACCCATAATAAACCTGAATAAGGTGGCAGTCTGCTCAGGTTTCTCTTGGAGAAGGACAAGCCACGACAGGTTCCTTACAGAAACCCAACACTCAAGCCCTGCTGGACACAGTCCCAGGGACCGGGATTAAACCCCAGGGCGACTCATGCACAGTACAGAAGGAGGGTTGCTGGATACCCTTAGGGGTGACTTCCAATACCTTCTGGGCTCCAATGGGGGCTCTGGGTCCTAGGACCTGGCCTTGGATGCAGCCAAGGACAAGAGCAGCACATGAGGCAACAGGACTACTGAGCCTGTCCTGGGAGTGTGTGTCAGCACAGTCAGTTCAATGCTGATGGGCCTTTTCTGTAGGCCTCCCGGATGGCCTCCAGACATAGGTCTGGCAAGGCACCCTGGAAGGTGTTCCAGCAAAACAAACACCACAAGAATGCCCTGCAGCTCTACTTAGCAACAATGACAAATCTAAATACATACTCAGCAAAAAAGCTGCAGAAGAACAAGTTCACTCACATTTATGCAAACACCTAAATAGGCAGAACAACAGTGCTGGAAAGAATCAAGGCATGGCTGGGAGCACCAACCACACTCTGGAGGGGGGAGGAGGTCAGGCCCGTGTGGGACACCCATCAGCACCCACAAGCCTGGGTCAGGCACAATGGGGTTAAGTGGGTACTAAGTGCTTTGTTTGCCAGCAGGTCAGAGGGCTTCTGGGGCATTAGCCAGTGACCTCTCTCTCCCTTTCCTCCTCCTGTACCAAGAGCTGACATGTCCCTTCTGTGCAGGGGGTGCCCACCTGTCTCAGGTGTGCGGGCAGGCCAGCTCTGGCTTCCCACTCTCACCTTGGAAGGAGCTTTTGCCCTGTTGCCTGAGTGCCAGGTGGGTTAAGGGAGGGTCAGCTGTCTCTGTGTGCGGCTACCTCTGCCTGTCCTGGTGCTCACAGTGGAGTGAGGGAAGGCAATCCCTTCTTTCCCACTGAGGCAGCAGAGGGGAAGCTCTGGCTGAGAACCAGCCTGATCTGACCTGCTGCAGACCCTGAGAAGCCTCCCAGTCCCCATTATCACACAGCAGGTGCACTGCTGTGTTGTGGATGACACAGCACAGGTACCCGAGCCTGGAATGACATGGCTGTGTTTTTTTTTTGAGACAGAGTCTCACTTTGTTGCCCTCAGTAGAGAGCTATGGCATCACAGCTTACAGCAACCTCTAACTCTTGGGCTTAAGTAATTCTCTTGCCTCAGCCTCCCAAGTAGCTGGGACTATAGGCACCCGCCACAGTGCCCAGCTATTTTTCAGAGATGAGGTCTCAATCTTGCTCAGGCTGGTCCTGAACCTGTGAGCTCAGGCAATCCACCTACCTCGGCCTCCCAGAGTGCTGGGATTACAGGCGTGAGCTACCGCGCTGGCCCTTGGCATGGCTGTTTTAAAAACTGCTTCTGTGGCTGGGGAAGGTGGCTCATACCTATGATCCCAGCACTCTAAGAGGCTGAGGTGAGTGGATCCCTTGAGCTCAAAAGTTTAAGATCAGCCTGAGCAAGAATGAGACCCCATCCTATTAAAAATAGAAAAACTAGCCTGGCATTCTAGTGGGTACCTGTAGTCTCAACTACTTCTGAGGCAAAAGAATCATGTAAGCCCAAGAGTTTGAGGTTGCTGTGAGCTATGCTATTACATCACTCTACTCAGGCTAACAGAAGTCGACTCTTTCTCAAAAAGAAAAAAAAAAAGAAAAAAATATTGCCTTTGAAAGTTAGAACCCTTCAAGGCAACTCTTTGGACTGGCCTGCGTGCCCAGATGGCAAGTGTGACCTTGTGTGAGTCTGCTCTGGCCTCCTAGTGAGCCTACTCCGAGACCCCGCCTACCCTACCTGCTTAAGCACCACATCTGGGTTGTAGTTCATGACTGTGAAATGCTTCTCATAGTCATCCAGGTCATTGAGCTCGAAGGGCCTAGAGGATAAGGTGATAGAGACATGCGTGGGTTCCCCAGCTGGCCTGGTCCACATGGGGGAGTGGTCACTGACTGAGCCTTCCTGGCTGGAGGCTCAGGACAGAACCCCCACTTCTCAGGCTGGATACTAGCTCCTTCATCTGGGAGACCCAGAGCCCCATTTAGAACTGGGGTCATTACGCTATTTTATTTAATGACAATAGGGAAAAAAAAAATAGAACTGGGGTCAAGGTGAGTGATGTGCTAACTGGGAAAAGTCTCCATAGGTCCCTAAACCATCCTCGTAATTTTCACACACTGGTGTCTGTTTTAGAAAGATCATTCCTGTCCATTACTGTGGCCCATGCGAGAATGCTGGCTGGGTGATGGAGGAGCAGCTCCAACCCAGGGTCACAGCCCAAGTCAAAAGGGCTGGTCACCCGGCCCCTCCCCCCAATTGGCCCCCTCCCTGACCCACGACACCACCAGGCTCCCAGTTACCGGTTAGAGAACCGCAGCCAGAACACGTCATACACGAACAAGCTCAGGGGCTTCACTGACCGCAGCAGCACGATGTAGCGGATGTCGAACTTGACCTTGCCCACATCCTCTCGAAGGAACAAGACGGGACTTTCAATGTACTTGGACACAACCTGGAGGACACAGACGCAGGCTCCCAGCAGTTCTCACTCCCCAGGTCCAGGTCAGAGAGAGCACCTGGGGCTCCCTAGCCCACCCTGAGCCCCACTCAAGGGCTCCTCCCCTCTGTCCCTGAGGAAACCAGTGCCCAGAACCAACAAGGCAGAACGGCAGCTGCGCTTCATTCCTCCTGCTGCCCATTCAAACCCTGTCCAGGGTGCAGCAGGTTCTTTACATTCTCCTCTACTTAAAGAAAAACCAAATCCTGCCAGTTTCCTGGTTTTGATAATGGAACACAAATCCTTGCCCTTAACCCCCGTCCACCTCATCCCAATGCCTGAAGCCATGACAAAACCCTTCCTTGCAATGCATTCCCTTCTACGCTCTGCCCAAGGACACGTGCCACTAGTATAGACTCTGCCTTGCTGGATTTTGTGTCCTGCATTCCCAATACTGCCTCTGATGGCCTGTCACTATGAAACCTTTGCCATGGCCCCGAAGGGCTCCCTGTGTACACCTGGCTACACCCTTCCTGTCAGGCAGTCATATCCAATGCAGTACATGCTGGGGACTGGGACGTCAGATGTCCCTAGGATGCTTCTAACTGAGGGTCTCCTGCACCTGCACTCACCTAGTCTGTCACACAGCCCCCTCCTCAATGGCAATCGCTCAGTGGAAGGAGTGAGGGTGGGGAATGCAGCCCCAGGTGGAGTCATTGCTGACCCTCCCTGAGCCTCCCTACCACCTGGCTTTATGCACAGAGGTCTCTGACAGCGAGTCCCCTTCTCTCCAGCTGAGTGTGGCCCACCTTGGGGGTGCTCTCTCGGTGCCGAATGATGCTATGGAGGCTCTTGGTGACATGGGTGTCCAGGCTGCGGGCCAGGTTCCAAGGCTTGCAGATCCAGTGGTTGTCCTCACCCCTGGGGGAGTGGAAAGGGATGGCTGGGCTGCACCTGAGGCCTGTCCTCGCCAGGACCCCAGCAGCAGAGTTGGGGTTGCTCAGGGATGAGGGAGGAGTCTGCCAGAGCCAAGGGAGCTATGTCCCAGCAGAGGCCTGGGGTGAAGCTGGCAGTCTGCATGGTCCCTATGCCAGTCTATAGACTGCACAATGGGGATGGGAGCTGCAGGAGCATGAGGGACTGTCCCCATTGCCTGGCTGTGCTTGGGGCTTACCTCTGCTCCCGTTGCTGGAAGTAGCTGATGAACTGGGGCAGCTCGGTGCGCAGATTGAAGGTTCGGGGCAGCCAGTGGGGGCCCTCAGGGCCCCCGGCCCGGCGCGAGATGGAGGCCAGGCAGTCCTTCACAGTCAGCAGGCTTTCACAGGGGAACTGGTTCAATAGCACACCTGGCCTCTCCTGGCTGAGTCTCCTATGGGCAGAGGCAAGCACAGTTGGTCATAGGGAAGCATGGGACCTGAACAAGGTGGCGGGGACCAGACATGCCCTTACCTGTAGTCTTTGAAGTGGGAGAAGCTGAAGAGGATGTCGGCATCTGCCTCACTCTGGGTGAAGGTGAAGCGCGGGTGAGTCAGGCCCTTGAGCACCTGCTGCATGTCTGTGTAGACCCTGTGGGGAGGTGCAGAGCTGAGTGGGGCAGCCCACACTCCCACACGGAGCCCCAGCTTGGCTGCTGCTCAGCCTGTTCTGAAATTAATCAGGTCACAGTGAGTCCTGGGCTTGAGTCATGATGTGGGACAGCCTGAACTCAGGCCTCACCTCTGCTGATCTGCCAAGGGCTAAGGCAACTTACCCTCTGCATCCCCAGGCTCCCCACCTGTAGGACAGGACCATGAGGTCTCTCATTTGTCACTGGGGTGAACAGATCATTTGGGTGTTTAATAAATGCTAGTTCTTTCCTCCCACACAGAAAAAAAGAATAGGGGGACACTACCAATCTCACACTGACATGCCAAATGGCCCTCATGAGGCCTCTGCCCCAGAGGTACAGATCGCTAGGCAGGAGTCACAGCCAGACTGCGCCTCAGCAAGAGCTCAACTGGGGCCAGCAGTGAGGAGACCCCCAGGATCTGGTAGAAGGGGCAGAGGGGAGCATGTTGCCCATTTCTGGACCAGGTTTGGGCAGCCCTAGGTGGTTTGGGGGCTCCCACAAAGGCAGAGGCCAGTCTCTGTTGTGGTGGAATCTGCCTGAGCCCTGTTCTGTACCAGATAGGCATGGTACCCACTTCCTCCCCTGCAGAATATAGCGACTGGTTCTATAGGGGGGGTCCAGCCTGGGCCTCCCTGCCTAGTCTGCCATAACTCACCAACCTAAACCTGCACACTCCTAGGGAGGGCCCCTTCTAGGGTGCCTTTTCTAGGTGCCTGGCACATTCACAGCCAGCACAGCCTCTGTGTCCTCAGGAATGGCTGGTGTGCCTGGGCCTGGTTGTGTGTATTTCCTGGACCAAATGAACACAGAGTGTCCAGGTGGGCAGAGTAGCCCTGCATGGCACAGTCGAGGACATGACCCTCCAGGCTGGGAGGACAGGGGTGAGGGGGATCTACAATGGGCCAACCCTTCTGCCTGGAGTGCCCTTTGCCCACTGCCAGCATTCCCATGGCCTACTTCTTTTTAACTTTCAAAGGTGGATTTAAAAGCTGCCTTCCCCAGGAAGCCCTGCTCACCCTCCCACTTTCCGCAGCATCCTCTCTGGGATCCTAAGATTGGTACCCCTGGTACTGCGGTCACCACCACGCTCAGACTGCCGGCTGCCAGAATGCAGCTGACTTACAGAGTACTTCTGTGTGCTAGGCGTGGTGCTATGGCCATGGGAACCGTGGGGAGTATGGAAGACAGTGGCCGATGATGAGTTCCAGCAGGAGCAGAGACGGGGCTACGCACCTAAAGACGTGGTCAGAGGGATGAACCACTGGACTGACGCCAAGTGGCAACTGTTCCTTGTTCTCCTTCAAAATGGCCTAGAAGGAAACACACTGGAGGTAGAAACACACTGAAATGGAGGGAGCGAATGAACACAGGCCTCCTGCCTGGCATGTCAGGCTTCTGGGACTGTATGGGGCACATGTTGCCCTCAGGCAGAGCCCTCCACTGCTGCCACCAGCTCAGAGCTGGTTCTGGGGCTCAGATCACAGCCCTAGTTTGGTGTCAAAACAAGGTAAACAGTATTTTATTTATTTTTTCTGAGACAGAGTTTGACCATGTCATCCTTGGTAGAGTGCTGTGGCATCACATTCACTGCAACCTCAGACTCATGGGTTTAAGTGATTCTCTTGCCTCAGTCGCCCAAGGAGCCAGGACAATAGGCACCTGCCACAATACCTGGCTATTTTTTTGCTGTAGTTGTCATTGTTGTTTAGCAGGCTGGGCTGGGTTTGAATCCACCAGCCCCAGTACATGTGGCCGGCACCCTAACCACTGACCTATGGGTCCAAGCTGTAAACAATATTTTAAATCTTCTCAATGTTACCTCCAACTCACAGATGCCCACCCTGTCTTAGGAGGGGGCTGCTTGGTCCTAGAGGAGTCCCAAGGACTGCTCTGAGTTTAGGCAGTATTGGTGGCTTAAAATATATCCATGAACTCTTTGACACGCCCTTCAAAAGAGAGGGCTTAACCCATCTCCCCTGTGGACTGGACCTAATGAGTTGTTTCTCATCAAGAGCAACTGAGCATAGCTTCTGAGATTGGTCCTGAAGGGCCTACAGTCTTATTCTAGCTTTGTCCCGATGAATCACCCTAAGAGAAGTCAGACACCATGACCTCAGGAACTCAGGCAGTCCTGTTAGAGGCCCCATGGTGAGGCACTGAGTCCTCCTGCCTACTCGCTGGGTATGTATGTCACAAGGGAGCAGGTCCTCAGCCCTGTCACATCTCAGATCACGCAGCCCTAAGGGGCAGCCTGCGCACCTCGTGAGCCAGAAGCACCCAGTGGAGCCACTTCTGAGCTCCTGTCCACATGCTGTGTGGGATAACGTGTTTGCTGTTTTCCAGTTATCTGTCACCCAACCATAATGGCAGCACTGGCAACCCCAGGCACGAGCCCAATGCTTACTGGGAAAATCTAAGAGGATATTTCAGACAAGGTGTCTGTGGCCTCATGTCTCCTCTTTCGGGTCAGCATGGAGCTTCCTGAGGAAAAGTACTAACTTTAATTCACATCCCATTAAAAAATAACCTCAAGGCCAGAAGTATTTGTCCCTCTGGCTTGTTTCGACAACTGTTTACTATGCATCTGCCAGGAGCAGGCGCTGTGGGAGGCTCAAACACAGCTCTGGCCAAGGAGAGCAATCTTATTAGCTAGAGAGACCTGGTCGGTGGAATCACTGCTGACTTAGAATGAGCTGTGCCATCAGGGCCACTGCCACAGCAGCTCCCCACTCCAGCATCATGAAAATGCCAAGACCAGTCAGTGCTTCCCACCCTAGTTAACTTGTTTAATCCTTCCCCCCACCCTCCATGACACCAATGAGCAGCTCTTTTGCAAGCAGGGCAACCTCAAACACAGCGGGGCAGGTCAGCGGCCTCTGCCCATAGCCATCAGGTCTCCTTAGTTCTGGACTCCAGCTCTCCCACCAGCTGTGTGGCCTTTGGCAAGTTACTTAATTCCTCTGTGCCTCAGTTTCCTCATTCTCAGTAAAATGAAGACAGAACTGTGAAGTTGTTGTAAGGAACACAGTAGGGCAAGCCCTGGAATACTAAGTGCAGGACCCAGTGGCACGGGGTCAGGGTAGTATGCCCCTGCCCCCCTATATGCTCCACATCGTCCCTTCCCCAGGGCCTAACTCTGGCTTCCTCACTGCTGCTACCCCCGTGTCCTGAGCCCTAAAAGAACCCTTAGCACCAGCTGGCACTTTGAAGTGGCAGGCTGAGTCCTGGCAGGCCCTGACTGAGAGGCTGTTCAGACAGGAGCAACAGTGATGGAAACAAGAGATTGCCTGTTGAGGGCTCACTATGTGCTGAGAAACATACTCCAGTGTGCAAATAGCGGGTCCTCCTGTCCCCCACTGTGGAGGTGCCAAAAGAGGAAAGGGGACCAGGCAGGGTCATGGCCAAGTCCAGCAGCACAGACCCCAGTGTCCATTCAGAGAAGCTGCACTGCCTGCCTGCACCCTAGCTCCGCCCAACCCTCTGAGAGTGGACTCCCAGCTCCAGCACCTGGGGGCTGGGACCGGTGCCTAAGCTGTGTGGCCAGGGCAGCTTGTGCCTATTCTCAGAGGCCCTTCTCACGCAGATACTGCCAGACACTTCTCCACCTCCCACAGGAGGTGCTTGGCACTCAGTGGCATTCAATTACATTTGGTGTCTGGATGGAGAACATTCCCAAAGCCTCTAAGCAGCAAACCCAGGGACAGAGGTTGAGGCAGAGGCAGTCACACCTGGTAGTACTCAGCAGGTGGCTCAGGTGTGGCGGGGCTGAAGTCCTGCAAGTCGGCAGGGGCCCAGGGCAGCAGCAGGCATCTCCGGAGCAGGGGATCTGCCTCTCCATAGGCAAAGTCCCGGGTCACCTCCTCTGTGCCAAGACACAGTATCCATCAGAGGGATAGCAGAAAGCTGGGCCTGAGGGCATCCTCCAGGGCAGATGGGTATTAGACTTACCACCTGTGTCCAGGTCCCGGAGGGGCCATAGCAGCGTGTAGGCCATCTGTTGGGGAATGTAGAAGAAGGGTGCGGTGGCGAAGCTGGGCACGTCCGCGTGCTGGATTCTTGAGCCAAATTCATCCATGATGTACCACACTGGCACCTTCTCCTCTGCAGTCTGCAGGCAGAGCAAATGCGGCGACCCTCGTTCCTCTGCTACTCATCTGAACTCCCTTCCACTCACCCAAACACCAGCCACTCATACCTCCATGCCCACCTCACCAAGATCTCAGGGTCTCTCATGTGCATCCCCTTTAGTAATCCCAGGGCCTTCCAGCCAGTGGCCCTGCCCTCATAGACCAGGACACACACCTGTGCCATGCAGCAGGCCACCCCAAGTGGTAATACGGTGCTTAAGCACACAGCCCAGCAGCCATGTGGGTATGTATGGGGCAAGGAGAGCAGAGGTTTGGAGTCAGGGAAGGCTCCCTAGAGGCGGCATCTGAGTGAAATCATGAGAAAGAAGCATGTGTCTTTCCTCAGACTAATGGTGGTGAGGGGTGGAGCACACAGGTGAGTCTGGAGAGGCCAGCAGGGGTGGGTGAGTCTGAGGATGTCCTAGAGGGACTCAACTTCTCCCCAGGGTGGAGAAGAACTGTTGAGGGGCTTCAGGGGGTGACAGAATCAGAGGCGCTGGGAAAGAGGCAGCTGAGTCACCTGGGGTCACCAAGTTCAGGGGTCTGAGAGAGAGTTGTGCCCTGTGAGCTCAAAGGCTGGGCAGGCACCTGGGTCCTCAGCAGCGGACAGCCCAGCGAGTGTCCTGGAGCCACAGGAGAAAATGAACTTGCTCACTCTGGCTGGTCCTTGCCTGTGCTCCCTACCCCAGGGCTTGGCTGACCACTCACCCCCTGGGCCAGTTGGTAGGTCTGGTTGAACTTCCACATCTCCTCCAGAACCAGGGCCACAGCATCCGCACTTGGTAGCTCTCCGTGGAACTCCACACCCATCAGGTTGGCCATGCGGTGCAGCAGCCCTGGCACCTGCTGCAGCTGCTGGCGGGCATGCTCCACGCGACACGTCCATGCGTGGTCAATGAGGAAGATGCTGTGGGCACGGGCCACACATGAGGCTGCTGGGCGGGCAGGGCACGAAGGGAAAGGGGAGACAAGGACCAGGGGAGAGGACGAGGCCTGGGGCTGTGACCGGAACCTGGCACCCAACCTCCCCGAGAGTCAGTCTCCCTAGCACCACAGCCATGCAGCCAGAGTCTAGAGGGCCTGAGTTATATCCTGGCTCTGCTGCCCACTCACTGTGTGGCCCTCACACAGGGCAGCACAGGTTTCTACCACCAGTCACCAGCTTGTCAGAAGCCCCAAACGAGAACAGACATATGTACACCAACTGCAATCACTATTACTGAGCGTCCTCAGCTGGACTCTGAGCCACTTGAGGATGAGCCTGTGCTCCCTGCAGGGCTGGCACACGGCAGGAACAAAGGCAAGGCACTGGCAAGTGGCACGCGCAGGAACTGCCATACAGAGCTTGTGCATACACACTCTGGGGGGAGGACCACAGTCTTTCTGTGGGACAGGCTGTAAGTCACCACACAGAGACAGACCACATGCTGACTTCCCCAGAAGAGCCCAGGCAGACCAGCTACACAGCTCCCACAAGACAGGATGTGGCTATGGCAGGGCAAGGGGGTGCCCAGCAACTGTCTCAGATCCCTGTAGACCAGCAGGCTCCAGTGACAGGTCCCTTACAAGCAGAGCAGCCCCTTGTTGGCTGCAGGACTCTATTAAGATGAACAGTAAATGTCCCAGTTCTCAAGGGTGGAAGTCTAGTATTTATTTTACTGTGCTTGTTGCCAATCCTAGAATGAATAAATATTTATTCCTGGTCTTGTGCTCAGAGCTGGTGACTCCATGATGCAGTGTGCAGAGCCAGGACTTCCAAGTCCCATCCTTGGGGGTAACCCAGGTAAATGTGATGGGGCTAGTACATGCAGGCAGGTGTGGAGAACAGGATGGAGGAACTCCTTGGGGATGGCCAATCAAGGAAGGCTCAAGGGACAAAAAGGCCCAGAAGCAGATGGAGCTGAAATTAGCTCCTCCCGACCCTGGCTGGAGGCAGTGTGTATGGTTAGGCCAGAAAGAGACCTTGAGTTCCCAGGGTGGCCCTTTCATGGCACAGGCTGAGAGCAGACCATGTGGGGGTAGGTGCTGGGTTGTCTGTATAACTAGATAGGTAGCCACTGTCACCCACTCATGGCTGGAGCTGCTCTGCAGAAGAGACCAAACCCTGCCATAAGGGCTGTGTGTGGACACAGGGATCCAGTGACCCCTGGAAACCAGAAGAGTTTTTTCTGGTTGTTGTTATTTGTTTTTGAGACAGGGTCTCACTCTGCCACCCAAACTAGAGTATAGTGGCATTCTCATAGCTCAGTGTAACCTCAAACTCCTGGGCTCAGGCAATTCTGCCTCAGTCCCGAGTAGCTGGAAGGTAGACATTTCTTCCTAAAGGCTTCAACAATGCCTTCTGCAGGGGCACCTGCAGGCCTGCTCTGCCTGAGGACAGCCCCTCAGATGCCTGGACTTCAGCCTCAGCTCTGCTCCACATTTCCCACTTCCCACACTAGAGAATCAGGTCCACCAGGATCAAGGAAGAACTCAGAGCAAAGCTATCTGGGTTTAACACCTGCACCCTCCAGCAGCAGGTGACCACGGGCAAGCCCTCACCTCTGTGTCACTTTCCTCATTAGCAAACTCAGAACTCATGACATGCTGTGGCAGGACCACTACAATGCCAGTCTCCACTTGTGCCCTCGGGATCTAGTCAACCGGGTCACCACAGGAGTAAGATCAATACTGACATGGACTCTGCTCCAAGGCCTTGATGGAAACCTAGCTGGCCACATGCACACTGCACAGGCTCTGCTGGGGATAAAATCCAGCCAGGTGTGTGGCACAAGGGAGCACCTAAGTGTTGACAGCTATCACTTTTTCCCCAACAGTTGATGATCTTGGCAAACAGGAAAACAAGCCCTGAGAGTATGGAGCAGCACCAGCCACAGCTCCTACCTGTTGGGGTCGGCTGCCTGGAGCCCGCTCTCCCTGGTCACGATGACCTTGTAGCACAGCTCGCTGCCCGGGTTGGGCTGCTTCTTCCGTGCCTCCTGTGCTGCTGCTGCCTCCTCCTCCTCCTCACCCACCTCCTCCACTTGCATTATCCCAAACACTTCCCCAGCGTCGAAAACCTGGGGGCCAGAGCACAGTCACCAGTGGGTGTGGGTAGAAGACCCCATCTCAACCTCTTAAGAACACTGAGGGTGCCACAGCCAGGCCTCAAGGACAAGCCTGACTCCTGCAAAGGATGAGGGCCTATGTACTATACCTGCCCATACCACCTTACAGGTGGGTAAAGTGAGGCTGCCAGAGAAATGAGTCATATGGGGACCTGCACTGCCAGCCAAGGCCCCTCACCCCACAGGCCACCACATTTGGAGACAGGACTGCTTCTGTGGTGCTGTTCCCTCTAGTCCAGCTACTTGCTTCACAGGGAAAAGAGGCCCAGGTGGGAAAGGGCTCCAATCACAGTGGAGGGTGATAGAAGAGTCAGGATCTTGGGGCCAGGGAGTACACCCCAAATTCCCTCTCACTGGAAAACCCATCCAACATCAGGAAATAACCCTCCCCTACAGGGAAGCTTCCTCCATCTCCTACCCACCCCACCAGCAGCCAGGCTTGCAGGAAGCAAGGTGGGATGTGACAGTAAGGGCCTTGGTCCTGGAGCTTCCCCAGCAAAAGAAGAGGTTGGCCTCTTCTCACACAATCTGGAGCCAGAGGGGCCACAGGCCCAGCCACTCCTGCAGTGTCCGTCATAGGCTGGCAGCGGGGGTGGGGTGGGGTGGGGGGCCCTGACAGATTCTGGAGCCAGGCAGGGTGGCTCCATCAATTCCTAGATGTGCAACCTTGAGCAAGTTATCTAACCACCTCATACCTGTTTCCTCCTCCCTACAATGGAAGTAACAACCTACTCAATGTTACTAGAGGATTAAATGATTAACACATGCTCTGTAAGCACTCGCAGGTCTGATACTCTGTCTCCTCACTGTGCAGGCATGATGTCCCCAGCACATAGCCAGGACTCAGCAAAGGCTAGTCCCTCCTGCAAACCTGCTCCTCACCACTCCAAGAATGGCCGCTGGAAAAAGCCAGCTTTCTACTCAGGCACACCCAGTTTCTGTGTGCTGGAGTGGAGATGAGTCACTCCTGACCTTGCCTGGAGCTGGTGGTAGCTGAATGAGGCCCAGGTAAACTGCTCTGAGGCCTGGGAAAACTTCATGGGTGAGGAGACAGCATCAGGGGTGAGCAGTCAAAGGGAGATGTAAACATGGCTGGGGGTGGTGGAGGAACGCCCAGGAGCCAGGAGGGTTGGCACCCACACCAGCAGAGACCAGGGATCACCTCAAAGACAGGGGAGCTCAGGTGCTTCCTGGGAGCAGGTGGCCTAAACCTCAACTTCTCCTTTACCCCCTCTTGGTCGCCCTTCTGAGGCCACTGCCTTACACTCCCCTTTAAAGAGATTAGGAGAGAATCGGCGGTCTGGAATCCATACCCTGGACTTCATTTTAGCACCCCCAATCCCCAGCCTTCCTCCCAAACCTTACGGGGGACTGTGGAGGCTGTGTGAGGCTAAGGGACAGAGGGCCTGCCTCAAGGGCTGGGCTTCTCCCAGCTGTGAAATGGGGATAACTACAACCCCTTCGTGGCAGGACTGGAAGAGCCCTAAAGGAGACAAGAGAGGGGAATGGTTTTGCGCAATAAAGTAGACATTTATTTTTAAAACATCCTTTTGGCCAGGTATGGTGGCTCAAGTAATCCTGGCACTTTGGGAGGATGAGGCAGGAGGATTAGCTTGAAGTCAGGAGGTCAAGACCAGACTTGGTGACATAGCAAGACCCCAACTCCACAAATTTTTTTTTTTTTTT